TTTTCTTTCCCAGCCACGCTCCCCGTGGGGGACTGTTTGCTGTGGACGCTCTCAGGTGCCTGCATGTGGGCCCCCCCCGCCCCCCAATGCTCCCAAGCACACTTTCTGATGCAAATCACCGCCCGAGACGGGGCTCACCAGTCTCCTCTCTGGATAACACACGGGCACATCCATTATGTGCCGTCCGCGTCTAAATGCACAGCCTTGCAGCCCTGACCTCTCGCTGCTCTTGTGTTTTTCAGGACGCTCTTGACGTCTGTCAACCGGGTGAGCTCCGAACCTCTCTAACCTACCGTCTGATCGTTTCAGCACTTCTCGGGCCTCCTCCCTCTCTAATTAGCGTGGCCCGAGGCTCGCACTCACCACTGCTTGGAGTCCGAGTCGCAGTTGCAGTAGTGCTTGGGGTCGGTGCAGTTGCGCTCGATGCCGCAGGCGCACTTCTGGATGCCGGGCCCGGAGCCTCCCCAGTAGTAGTGCTTCTCGTTGGCCTTGCCGACCCACCAGGTGTACGGACTTCCATCTGCGGGAGGGGAGAGCAGGGTGAGGCGGGAGCGGGAACGGGGCACGAGGAGGCCTCACCTTCCCCCACCCGGCCCAGGAGAGGCGTCGCTCTCGGGGGGAGTAAACGTATCCCCGTAATGGGAATATTTAATTAAAAACAGCACAGGGAGTTCCCAGCTCCAGTGTTCCCAGCAGGACAGGCACCCCTTTCCCTGGAAGAAATGTTTACAGTCAAGCTTAGGGGCCTATTCTGCAGATCGGCTGCCAGGAGGGGGCATGTCCACAATGAGGGCATATTGGTACCGGCGGTTCTGGAATGTACAACCAGGTTCACGACCGGCTGTGCTTTCCTGTCAACTGACAGTCATGGAGGTTACAGGACGTTAGAGCGAGACGTGGACTTTCACTGGGTCTTGGTGTGACCCCCTTAGTTCACAGGTAAGGAACATAGGTCCAGAGAGGTTAAGCGGTTCTTCCAATCACACAGCAGATCGGCTCCCAAACCAGAAGTTGGACAGTGTATCTTACAAGACAAGGTACAATGCTCTTTTTTTAAAAAATAAAATAAAGTATCTTTATTGATTTCAGAGAGAGGAAGGGAGAGGGAGAGAGAAAGAGGTGGAAGCACTGATGAGTGCGCATGTTGATCAGCTGCCTCCTGCCGGGGATCGAGCCCGCAACAGGGCATGTGTCCTGACCGGGAATCGAACCGGAGGCCCTTTGTTGCACTGGACGATGCCCACCCACCTGAGCCACACTGGCCGGACCGTTCATTTTCATTCACTAAAAACTGCATGCATTTGATAAAACATGTCTTATCCCAGCTTGTCACTTAGACTGTCCGGACGTCCCGTGCCTTGACGTCTCTTGGTTGATAATGGATGTACCTCGGCTTGANGGGCATGTGTCCTGACCGGGAATCGAACCGGAGGCCCTTTGTTGCACAGGACGATGCCCACCCACCTGAGCCACACTGGCCGGACCGTTCATTTTCATTCACTAAAAACTGCATGCATTTGATAAAACATGCCTTATCCCAGCTTGTCACTTAGACTGTCCGGACGTCCCATGCCTTGACATCTCTTGGTTGATAATGGATGTACCTCGGCTTGATTAATAACTAAAAGTTGGCTATAGCTTTGCAAATTAGTAGCAAAATCTTATTTTGCAGCTGCAGTGGTGTGCTGCAGAATCAGCAAGCACCTTCTCGGTGCCACAGAGACAGCTGGGGACAGGAATGAAACCTGCTCTCCTCGGCTCCGAGGGAGGGGACGGGTGTTTGTGTTAGAGATTTACAATTATGAAAGCTTGATGTCTGGATATCGGACAGGATGTACACGTAATAAGATGGAAGGAATACGCGTCGGATGTCATAGGAGTGGTTCGGGCAGTGGGTCCTTAGGATTTTGGAGAAGGGCGTGATCACCAAGGATCCAGGAGGCCTGCAGAGCCTCCAAGAGGGGACAGACCTGACTGCAGCTCGGACGGGAGAGAAGAATCTAGAAAGCCCGACGGGGGATCTGAGCATTTCGGATCTCCTCGAGGGGCCGGGCCAGGGTGAAGCCAGGGACCACCGGGCTCATTTCAGGAACCGTGGGGTCATCAG